CCGAGGAGCCGGGAGCGGCCCCGGGCTCCCCTCCGGACGCCACCGTCCGCACGCTGCGGCGACTGCAGGCCGAGCGGCGGCAGCTGGACTCGGCGCTGCTCGCGCTGTCCTCGCACTTCGCGCAGGTGCAGTTCCGCCTGCGCCAGGTAGTGCGCGGGGCGCCGGCGGAGCAGCAGCGGCTCCTGCGCGAGCTGGAAGACTTCGCCTTCCGCGGCTGTCCTCACGTCCTGGGTTACGAGGGGCTGGGAGACCCCTGCGGCGGCGGCGGCGAAGGCGGCGATGGGCTTCCGGAGGGCCGGCCCCGAGTGCGGGGCGAGGACCAGGTGAGTGTCAGGGGCTGGGTCCGGCTGGGCATGAGGACGGGGCGGGCAGGGAGTGTGTACTGGGTGATGACAGACGCGGAGCGAGCAAGTTGGACGTATGGTAGTTAACGTGAATGCCAGATACGGACACTGAAGACAGGAAGATGCAGAAAGACATAAAGTGAACATTGAAAAGGTAAATGGAAGCGGTGCTGCCTCCGTCTACCGTGCCCACGCCTGAAGGTGCTTACTTACCCCGAATGTGTATGTGTGTCACACGCTCTACCATGAGATACACCTGAGCACTTGCTGATAGGTGAGCATGAGGAACAGGAGAAGTGGGAAGTGAAAGGTCCCCCCTCCCCGTGCTTTTTTGGCATATACATGTGCTGTAATCTCTATGCTGTTTTATGTCACTGAGAGGTTTAGTAAACAGACACCTTCTCTTGGTAGTGGAAAGAAACACACCTCCTGATGATAAGGAAGTCCTAGCAGTGTCTTCAGCCTGCCCTGCCATCCTGCGTAATTAACGGGGTTCTCTGAACGGGGACCTGGCTGACAGGTGCGTTCCTCAGGACACTGAAGAAGCAATGAAATTCTGTAAACCACAGCAAGGGAAGGTTCCTTATGAACTTGGACATCTCTGGAAGCATTGAGACACGCTGCCTTTCTCCTTCATATTCTGCAGATTACAGTCCACACAAGGCTTTCTTCTTGCTCAAAATGTCTTTAGCCAGGAGAACCGATCGGTAGCAGATACTGACTTTTGTTAATCTGAACTGTTTCCAGTTCCTCCCTCCTCATACCCATGTCCCCTTGCACAAGGAGCAGTCAACTGTAAGTGGCCAGACTTAAAAAGTTAGAATAAATAGAATTATTGGTAGCCAGGCCCAGTTCAGTGGCGAATGACATGAAAGGCCATATGCAGCCATGGTAGGTACTTTTTATTGTTCACTGTCACTTTCAGAAAAATTTTCAGTGTGATGCCATACAAAGTTGTGCTCAGTGGATACGTTGGTGTATGAACAGGTAGTGTCTGAGTGGAGGACAGCTTCGAGTTGAGTGATGGACTTTTTCTATTGGGGGGGATCAAAAGGGTCTTGGGGGTGGAACCCAGGGACTTGCATGTTGTAGGCAAATGCTCTGTCATCAATTGAGCTATGTTCACAGCTCTTGAAATTATTATTATCGATTTTGTTGTTTTTTGAAATAGGGTTTCTCTGTGTAGCCCTTAATGTTCTGGAAATTGCTCTATAGACCAGGCTGGCCTTGAACCCAGAGAGATATGTCTGACTCTACCTCTCAAGTGCTGGGATTAAAGCATGCGCCACCACTGGCCTGAAATTTTTTTTTTTTAAAGGCAAGTTCTCTAGGTAAGGCTGCCTTTGAACTTACTATAGAATAATCTTGAAGTATTAAGTATTTTTAAAAAGTGGTGAGTGGTGAGTGTGTGTGTGTGTGTGTGTGTGTGTGTGTGTGTGTAGGAGCACTGCTGGTATCACAGCCTGTGTATGCAAGTCTGAGGACAACTTTCTGGGGGCAGTTCTCTCCTGAGAATGTGAGTTCTAGATATCAAACACAGGCCATCAGGCTCAGTGTCCCTAACCTTGAATTTTTGATCCTCCTGCCTCCACCTTCTGAATACTGAGATCACAGGCATGGGGACCATACCCAGTTATCCAGTGCTTGGTTCTGAACCCAGCATCTAGTATGCACTAGGCATGTGCTCTACCAACTTAGTTATATCCCAAGCCTTTCCAAATTACTTTAAACTGCTGGGCGGTGGTGATGCACATCTTTAATCCCAGCACTCGGGAGGCAGAGGCAGGCGGATCTCTGTGAGTTTGAGGCCAGCCTGGTCTCCAAAGGGAGTTCCAGGAAAGGCACAAAGCTACACAGAGAAACCCTGTCTCGGAAAAAAAAACAAACCAAAACCAAATTACTTTAAACTTTATCTCAAATTGTACTGGAAATTAAATCTACTGTTTCCTGCCTTGCCCCAGAACTTACTGTTCTCTCTGTTAAATTTGTTTGCTCAACTCCAGCAAATATGCTGTAACTATGACAGCAAGTGACAGACTTTGGCAGATGTAGTCATGGAAACAGACCAGCATTTATCGCTGGTTTCTTTCTTCCTTGGCTTCACAAAGGGATGACAAAGCTGGACTATTTCTCCATTTCTTTCTCTTTTAGCTGATTAGATAACGTCCTCCAGCCAGAGGTCATTATTTGGAATTTGTTATTTTGTACCTAATTTAGTCCAAAAACATGTAAGAAATATGTACTGAGGGCTGGAGAGATAGCTCAGTGGTGAAAAGCACTGGCTGCAGCCGGGCGGTGGTGGCGGTGGTGGTGGTGGTGGTGGTGGTGGTGGTGGTG